CTTTCTCACAGACATCACTGGAAAGTTTGTAGTTCGGTCGGATACGTCAAAAACAAGGAAGTAAAACAATGCACTAGTTACTTAACGGTAGGGAGAGAGCGAGCGCGCGCGCAATTCTGTTGTGTGATCTTTGATTTTCACTCACTTAGCACACGCATCATTTAAATCGTAAAAATAAGACCATTTATAGGGGCATTCACTATAAAATGTCATTTATTTTTAACCTTAGGCATACACGACTTTCTGGCAAAAGTGAACCTAGCAGCCTTTGTGAAATGCGCTAGGCTGTACTTTTCTACATCAGTACAAATACGTGCACGCGTTACGCGTGTTTTGCTTGCTTGAGTGTTTCTGCATTATATGAGTGGCTTTGGAATATAAATCGCAGCACGTTTCAGATGAAAAAACGTGACTTCTATTTATGAAAATATCACCGTTAGGAGATTTATATTGAGTGGTTCCCTGCATTATTACAGTACTGAGCCGCTGCAATGGAGCAGCTCTAACGCTATTAAATTAAAGATGATGTACCATAGAGCAAAAAATTAACAGTGAAATTAACAAACTTGTAAAATAAATTTTAATGGGCATAATTAAGTGTGAAAATAACTGAAGGATAAACAGTCAAACCAAAAATTATTCAAAGACCAGATATAATTTTTTATATTTTTTTTACTAGTGGGTGCCGGACACTATAGTTCATTTATGTAAGTGAGGATAGCAAAATAAAGTAAACTGTGATATATTATACCCAAAAATTCTTCATAGAGTGGACTACCAGTAAAACTGATACAAATTTGGGACCAAAAATTATTCAGACCGAGTCTGGGAAAAAAAATGAAGTTCAGGTTTGCATGAACCTGGATGACAGAATGCCCAGGAGACTGCAGGCTGTCATTAAGGCTGCCCGACTAAGTATTGATAGTTGTGTAAATTGTCATCCATTAGGCTACATACCTTTCTTTCAAAGTTATCTAACATTATCAAGCTGAATTTGTACTGTAAACTGTGATAATGTGAGAAATGTTGAAGGTGTCTGAATACATTTTGGTTTGATTATCTATTTGATAAATGAAGTTAACCAACTAACATTATACATACTCTTTTGGTTTCTGTACCCAATATTTAAAAAAATTTACAAATGCAATAAAAATATTGGTATCGGTACTCTGTATCGGCAAGTACCAAAAATAAAAGTATCGGTATCGGGCCAGTACTGGAAAAAGTGGTATCGGTGCATCCCTAGAAAAAAACTAAACGTAAAATGTTTTGGACAAAAACTACCAAAGAGCACGAAAGGGTTAAGAGTGAATAAAAGCTACATATTTGTCTCCAGCTCGTGTCACTCACTTAGAAAAGGCAGACATGCAACTGAAGGTTTCCTTACATTAGAAAAGCGACATCAAATGAAAAAATGTTCAAACTTGAGAAAGCATAATGTCAGAATGATGTAGGTTAATTTTTGTACTGACTGAACTCTATCAGTTCACTGACAGCAATGGAAACCTGTTAAACAGTATTTCATCTACACTGGTATTCAAACAATTCAGAGGTTTTGAGGTGACCAATAGAGCATAGTTTGACCACTGATCTATTAACAGTATATTTGGTTATATTTAACAAAGATCAGCATGTTAACAAGGCAAAAACAGCTACTTTGAGGCTACGGGGTGCCTTTCTCATTTGCAATGTGCTCACAGCCTGCCATAGCAACAGCATTCCAGTGTGATCACTTAAGCCACAGTGTTGCTAAAGAGCTCTTGTCTTCAGGATTAGGCTCCGTGTTCGGCCCCGGAGACACACCTCCCACAAACACATCTCACACACACACGTTCCAGTTTGGGCCAACCACAACTAGTTTGGTAGAACATGATGTCTGTTCAGGCAGGTTTTTTTCCCCTGAAAAGTCTATTAATCAGTCTGTTGTCCTATTTCGAAGACACTTATGAAATATAAACAAAAAGCAGCTGGTTCAATCTCATAAACTTCTCAACCTGTCTTACTCATATTTCACAATGAAGACTACTTTATGACAGCTACGATAGTTTTGCATTGTGCCATTATGTTCATGATACTTAAGCATATAATGTGAAAAAAAAATCTATAAGGATTTTTTTTAAAGGATTAGGAGGATTTTCATTTGCTCTTGAGGTCTTTGAAATTAATAGATTGAGATGAAAAGAGAAGAAAGAAAAACTAGACAAAAAATGCACAATTGTAAACTTCCCTAATATTTCCATGTGTAAATGAAAATATTAGGGAAGTTTACAATTGTGTGTGGTTTTTTTGGTAGCCTATAGATTTTATTGTACATTTAAGACTGTACATTAAATACAAATGCAGATTTGAATTAAAGTCAGACAGGATTATTTTTAATAATGCATTTCAGTAAGAAAGATCACATTATAGCAATGGTAATTTGGTAAGAAAATGTCATGGCTCTCAAGACAATATATCAAATACTAAACTGACAAATATAATTTTTTCTCTTTTGATTTTAAAGTGCTATATGGTCTTTTTTCATGAGATGCATGCATGATAATGTTTAGAAGGGGAGGTAAATGTAAATACCAGTTAAAAAGTAAAAGTTAATAAATCATAAATTAGATTATGAATTGTAATAAAACTACGCACATAAAAAAAAAAAAAATCACAAGAAATTATAAAATTTCTCTTCACCCTAAAACAATACAATGTGTAATTCAAAATACAGGCAAAACTCCGGTGAAAAATCAATACGGAAAATTCCTTCATATTAACACAATACATTGTGTCCTATTTTCACAGACTTTTTTTCTAGAGCGTGGGAACTAAAAACCTCCCTACTTCCATCACTCAGACATTCTTCTTTGAATTATGCACACATTACACACAACAGAAAAACGGGATTTTGTTTTAGCCCAAGATCTAGCTGCAATTTAGGCTACTTTTTAGGAAGCAGGATTATTTCGGGGAAGTATTATTGAAAAAAGCCACTGGATAACGCTACTGGGGGTCTCTGAAAGATGTCACCCACTCTCCAACATCCCATTTCTTTGTTAGAGGTCTGTTTTTAATTCTCCACAAACAGTTGATTTGATGACTCACATCCACACTGTCGCAACTACTTCTGTTTGGACATCTCAGATTTCAATTCTCAGCTCTAGAGAAAATGCAGACATCAGCCCCACATTTACCTCCGCAGTCATCTGCGGTCTTATCATCACTCGCAGTAACAGAAAGCAGCGTGCCACAGAGCGAATCATAGCTCCCACAATCAGGTGATGATGTAGCTGGAGAGCGGAAAATGCTGACATTATGGGTGACGCTTTTTCTCCTGAGCTCATGAGCCACGGTCATGGTCATTCATCCCAGCATGACACAAACTTGGCCAGCAAGAGCGAGGGTGAGCTAGCACAGAAAAAAAAAAAAAAGAGGCGAATGACAAAAATACAGTACCTGCCATTAGAAAGCTACAGCATCTACACTGCCTACTGTACATTACCAATGCATTATAAAGAGTGCGCTAAATCTGTGCAAGATCAGATCTAGCTGATGATCACTTGATCAGTGGTATATGCTAAGCCAAGTCTCACTATTTGAACACTTTGATACATACCTCATCCTGCTCCGTTTGTGCAACAGACATGAGCAAAACCTCCAAATGTATGGTTTATTAAGAAGAGTTGTGCAAAATGATCAGACCTATAATTTTTGATACAGCGGATGGAACAAAAATGTCTCTGTGAAAAATAAGTGCACTTAACTAGTGTACTTCAAATGATAAAAGTATATAAAAAAAACTGTACTTGAAGATAATATAGTAATGAAAAAGAGTACACTTAAGTGTACTTAAAGTATACTTTCATGACTATGTTGGACTAGAAAGTAGAGTCAAGTTGACAGTTTCATTATAAAGTACTTAAAAAAAAATTATAATGGTTTTGTGCTGTAAAGAAATATACTAAGGGGGTGTTTACACGACAGTTTTCAATAAAAAACGAAAAACTATGCGTTTTTTTTGGGCTGTTCTTTTACATGACAATGAGGTTTTGGGGGCCTGAAAATGCAAAGTTTTGAAAATGGGTTTTCAAAGTGCAAGGTTTTGATAGGGCTGGACAATAATTCAATATCAATATGTATCGCGATATAATAAACATGAGCACTGCACGTTTCAAAATCAAAATGATTTCTGAAGGATCATGTGACTGGAGTAATGATGCTAAAGCTCTGCTTTGAAATCACAGGAATAAATTATATTTTCAAATAGAAAGCAGTTATTTTAAATAGTAAACATTTCAAAATGTTACTGTTTTTGCTGTATTTTGGATCAAATAAATGCAGGCTTGATGAGCAGAAGAGAATTCTTTAAAAACATTAAAAATCTTACCGTTCAAAAACCTTGGACTGGTATGTTAGCCTATAGTTTGACGTAAAAAATATTAATATTAATAAGGAGAGTCTGAGATTTATTTGACAGTGATTTCACATTTCTTGTTTGTATGAAGGCTAAATACCAATAAAAGGTGAACATTTATTTATTTGCGCCATTTTTTTTCCTAAAATATTATAGTTTTATAGGAGTAGGTTTCATAGAGTTGGCAAATTAATTTTTCATAAGTTTGTAGGTACAGACACATGTTGTGGCCGTTCTTGGCTGTTTTTATGAGGCTTTTTTAACAGTGTTCATATCAATATCGGAATTATATCGTATCGACCGAACTTAAGAAATATATCGTGATATAAATTTGGGCCATATCGTCCAGCCCTAGGTTTTGAAAATGAAAAATTTGACAGCATTCTCATCTGTACGTGAAAACACAAAGGGGAAAACGTTTATGTTTTTAGTACATTTTAGTCATGTTAATGGGCACTTATTTTGTTGCGTTGACTATACTAAAGAACATGAAGTACTTTTTTTATAAATTAAACTCCAGTGTGTTATTTGAGCTTACAGTACATTTTAAATTGCAACATCACTACATATGGAGATGTACTTAAGTGGGTCAAAAACACAAAGTTCAGCTAACTGCATTTAATATAAATTGAAACTATAATACATAGTTATTTAATTGCCATTTACATGACTTTAAGCATCTGAAAACATTGCATTCTTAGAGCATATTATTTCTTTAAAAAGTACTCATTTTAAAATATATTTAAGTGTACTTCTTTTTCACAAGGGTGGAATCCGAGCAAAGCAATAAGCCCCGTGAAGCCGTGGTTTACAGTGAATTTATAACAGCTAAAGGGGTTTTATAACGCCCCTTAGCTGTTATAAATTCACTGTAAACCACGGCTTCACGGGGCTTATTGCTTTAATTTACTCACCCTCACATCGTTCCAAACCTGCATGAGTTTATTTCTAGTTTTAGTTTGGTTTGACTTCTACTGTATGGAGGAGAAAAATATCTTATTGCATGTTCCACAGAAGTTTTAAAAGAACATGTAAATGATGACAATTTATACTTTGGGGGGAACTCTCTCTTTAAGTGTGTTGCCGATTTTGTTTTCAAGACCAAATGGATTGATCAAGACTTTTCTTTGCATATAATCTCCCACACAACATCCTCTTACTCGCATTAAACTGATTTACTGGTAACTGAATATTCAAGACATGAAATAAAAATAATAAATAGCTCCTACTCGTTATTTATTACTAGTTTTATATTATCTGCCTATTAATTACCTACTGCTGCTCTAAGATGATCATTTCGCTGAATATGGAGCTCGAGGTGCTGTAATGTTCAAAATTCAAAGCCATGATGAACGGTCTAATCACAAATGGTTTAATATCTCTTCTATGCTAATATAAAGATCCCTCCGCAGATCGACGGAGAGGAGATTCACGGAGTAATGAAGTGCCTGCGGGTGTAAATCACTCAAAAGATCATTTCGTTACGTAACGTGAAACAGAAAATTTACACTGATAAAATATTAAAGCAAGAAAATGGATTTCTGCCACACTGCCGTCTACAAAGTTCAAAAGTTTAATGAGCTCTTCTGCTTTTTTATTTATCGACTCATTCTTCAACTCCGACTCAAATTTTCCACGTAACATAACTCATGATGATTTGCCTCGAAAGAGATGTGGCCAAATTGCATCACATTCTGGTTACATACAGTACTTATTTGAGGCAACAAAACAACACTATTTACGGATGATCTCCTTTCCTTAAGAAAAGAGGATATGTATGACAAATTAAAGTAGATGTTGCGAAACACATGCGAAACAAAATGTCTGAGTCATAGTACACTGACAGATTATGCGAACTTACAACAACAGAAATCTAGTCAACAGACTCCAAAAACAACGATGTAACGATGCATTTGATTCAAATGTATCATAATGCTGCAATGCATGATGAAAACATCTAAAGAAGGTAGGAGTCTGAAAATTATTTGTATGAGAAACAGCTGTAGAAAATGACAGATGGATAGTTATGCAATGAAACAAACAATGATTTTTACATCTATAAATGATAATCCAGGCCTGAAAAAACCCGGAGTCTTGTTTAGCAACCAGATGCATTCGGGAAAGACTGTGATCATGTCACACTGAAAATGACCAAATGACGAATACGCACGGCCAAAAAAAACACATCATCACTCTTTTCTGACAGCAAACCCACAACAATTACTACACAAAAAGGAGAGTTTTGCCCTGGTGGGCCGCACTGCCGAGGCGAAACCCGACACGCTCCTGAAACCCTGAAACAACACCGAGGGAGCGGCAGAATTCCCGAAGGAACGGAGAAGGCTGTTTTGGCTTCATGCAACAATGCTGCGGCCGTTTCCTGTGTGGGCTTCCTGTTGGTCATGCGTTGCGTTGCGTTCAGCACTTTGAGTCCAGAGACACCGTTCAGGTCACGGCTATTAAACACATAATACATTAATACTTAGGTGACAAAACAACTCCTGAACAAACAAAAACAGATTTATCGAGACGTCAACTTTTATCGGTGACTGAAGTACAATATCCTCTCTGAAATGTACTCGACTTCCTAAACGCTTCCTCGCTTCCTTTACGGCTTGCCAATAAATGTCAAATTCACAATGCGGCCACTATCTCGCTTTCCTTTCATTTTCTACCTGAAAAAAAAATGCTTTCCTCCGACAGGGTTTAAAACATTTATTTCAGCGTCAGTGGCTTCATGCATTATTAGTGCGGTGCTTAGTCAGACACTTCCAGATACTCAGAGGAGGATTCCTTGTAAACAATAACAAATGAAGCATCTGGCTGCTGTGCTGAGAAGAGGACTATTTTGATTCGGTGAGATCAGCAAAAACTTCTACTGCTTTGGGACGATTTACCAATAAGCACCTGTCAGTTACTTTAGGAGTAGCATCGTGACAAGCATAAAAAAAAAGTATGAAGAGAAACTCTCATAATAATGAAAGAATGGCTTGCTCGCAAATGGATGCTCTGCAGTGAATGGGTGCCGTCAGAATGAGAGTCCGAACAGCTGATAAAAACATCACAGTAATCCACAAGCAATCCAGTCCATCAATTACAGTAAATTCCTGTGAAGTGAAAAGCTGCGTGTTTGTAAGGAACAAATCCATCATTAAGGTGTTTAGTTGATTCTGGCTAAAATATGAGTCGTCTATCCATAATATTGCTTTCTCTACTGAAAAAGTCATCTCGTCTGAATCAGGAGAGAATTATGCACAAATAAAGCACTATTTACAAGCCAAAACAGATCTAAACAAGTATGTGGGTGGATTTTGATGTGATAGGACAACAGCAGGTGGACTTTCTCACTGGAGTGAATGTTATTATGGATTACAGTCTTGTATTTTAGCTGAAAGCAACAATTTGTTAAAGTTAAAAATGCCTTGATGGATTGGTTTCTTACAAACTTGCAGTTTTTCACTTCATAAGACATTCATTGATGGACTGGATTGGTGTGGATTACGGTGATGTTTTTATCAGCTGTTTGGACTCTCATTCTGACGGCACCCATTCACTGCAGAGCATCCATTGGTGAGCAAGTGATGCAATGCTACATTTCTCCAAATCTGTTTGATTAAAAAAAAATTAAAAAAACATCTTGGATGGCCTAAAGGTTACATTTTCAGCTACTTTTAATTTTGGGGTAAACAATTCCTTTAAGGTAAGACTTGAATGTGTCAAAAAAAGACAATCCAAACACAGCCTCAACTGTTATGTTCATTTGGCAATGTTGTCTTTCATGTATGATTCATAAATGTTACATAATTAAGCTCACACAAACAGTCCTATCTTTCTGTCTGAAACACAAGCACACAAACATGCACACGCCTATGCAAAAACTATGAGCGCATTGCACTGCGGTAGTTACAGGACATATTCAAACCTAGTCATCCTAGTTTCCACA